GCTAAGATCTTCGAGGGATTTAGCCACTCGTCCTTGCTCTCCCAAGTTCAACATCAGCTTGACGAGAAGCATTTTGCGGTTGCTCGTAAATCTACTATTCACGCACTGGTGTACATCATGATCGTCATCCTCGAATCACTCGACAGGTAGGGCATGTACGCCAGAATTTTGTTTACTGATTTTAGTAGGGGGTTCAATCTCGACCACAAGGCTTTGCTGCATGAGTTGGAGGTGCTTGGTGTTCATGAAGCCATTGTCCGTTGGGTTGGCGCCTTTTTGGTTGGCAACAAGCTTGCGTGAGTTTTGCCAGGTCCTGTCATATGTCAGGAACACTTACCAGTCTCTCTCGGGTTCCGCTGGTTTACTACCACAGCTATAACTTACGCTCAGGCTCACAATCGGTTCAGGCTTCTACTGGCAAATGCAAAAGACTAATGATTTTGTGAAGTCTTCAAATTTGAAAATGTATGTCGCGACCGCCCCCTGTAATTCAGTTGTTACTGCAATAGGGTTAAATAAACGATTGATTGATTGAATGATTGATTGATTTTCTACCTTAAATTTCAAACTTTTCTACGGTCAAGACCGGCCAGAACAGAAACAGCATTGATAATATAAAAGTCAAAATTAACCTATTGGTAGAACTAGAATCATTCTTGAAAACAGATATTGAGAGGAATTAACCTTAGAAGACTTACATAACAACGAAATAAACAGAAGATTCGGAGAAGAAGGGGCGTTCACAAGTACCACCCCCAGAAATGCTACGTGGTCTTACAGCAGATTATCTAATTCAAAATTCAGTGCGAAGATAAAAAGCTATAAGCTGTTTACACTCAGAGTCACCTTAAAGAAAGGGGTGTTGAAGCTGCTAAATTAAACTTGAACAAATATTCCTGGATCGTGAATTTAACATAGAATTTCATCTAAAAAAACGGGTCTGGAAATAATTAAAAGTGCAAGAAGTAGAAATTTCCCGGAATTCCTGTGCGAGGTAAACTTTTACTAGAGAGATTTACTCTCATCCTTAACTAGCAGATTGACATAATCAAAAACATAGCTCACCGCGAAATATACTACAACAAATTTCATTTGCCGTAGAAACTGAAAATCTCCTTCCATACCAGATTCACAACCTTACCACAATAAAAAGGTGAAAGAAATTGTACTTAGATGAGACCGCCAAAAGGAAAGGGAAATAATCAAACTGCTTTCTAAAATTTTTGCAATGACTGGCTTAAAGTAATTATACATTTCTATTCCTTTTCTTAACTCTTAAATAAGTCTAAAAACACACTTGACGAGAATTCTCGCTAGATTTCAGTTCTGTCTTTCAACACTAAGGATAAGCTCTAAAGGTAAATGACGTACAAACAGCAGAAATGAGTATGGCGAAGAATTAGGGTGAAAAAATCTTATCTAAATATAGTACGGAGCTGAGCCAACTTAAAAACATAGATTTCAAAGAGTTCATCAACAATTTATATATCGCTAAATATACATGTAGGCCAGTGAAAGGGTCTTCATAATATTATGCAACTTCCAAGTGAATTAGTGCTTACAAAGAGTGATGATTATGAAGAATGGAGATCATGAATGTTTTAGAAGGTGCCATGCAAAGCTAATCAGTCAACTCGGCAGGGACTGTAGTGTACTGGGAACTAGTCTACATGCGGGGAGCCGAGCGAGAGGTGTTGTGATTAAAGAAGCGAAGCGGTTGTGTTGTGACTGCTGACTTTGTGTCGTTTCATTTCGGTTGCAAACACTACAGGGACTAATCCACAAAGAACCAAAAAGACGGACAAACAGTTTGTTCATAAATTGGATTTTTCAGGTGTTGATTTTTCTAGTTTCACTGAAAAATTACAATAATAAGATCGAAAAAACAGAATGACATCAAAATTGTTTTCAGTCATGAAAATGAGGAAGGTTACCCTCTTCACATTTCAAAAGAAACATTTGAGAATAAAATCAATCTACTATTGATAAGTGATGATAACAAGAGCCATTATATGTTTTGATAACAGCTTTCAACAAGATGATGAGCCATAAAACCAAGCAGAATGAGAGGAAACACTTTTGCATGTATTGTCTGCAGGATTTTAGTAGTAATTAAATAAACATAAGGAGAACTGTATTGTTATACATGGTAGGCAAAGAATAAAAATGCCAGAAAAGATGGACAAGTTTGCTATGGCTTTATACATACAGATTTATAGATTGCATTTATGCTGAATTTGAGGCCATAACAGAGAAAATACAACCATGTTCTCCTTTTGAAAGTAAATCTTATACAGAAGCTTAATATCAGAAGTATACAGATCAATTGGTTATGCTTATAAATTGGCTTATCGTTATGGTGACAAACTCAGTAAACTAGTTCAGAATTTCAGGGGTAAGAATGCTGTAGAGAGATTTCTTAAACAAATTCTTGAAGAAACAAAATATGGCAAAGATATAGCCTATAAGCATTACAATAAACCTTCGAAAATGACTGATGATGATAAAAAGAAATTCAAGAAGGCTAAAAGTTGCAATATTTGTAAAAAATAAATACACAAATAAATGCATCAGAGTGAGAGATCATCATCACATTACAAGAGAATTCAGAGGAAGTGCACAGCAGGATTGTAGTTGGATGTCATTCGAAATAAGATGGAGAAATATCATGGGTTTCACATTGAAAAATAATTTGGTGTTTCTTGACGGTTTTCAGTTTATGAGCAGTTCTCTTACAAAGCTTCTTGATAATTTACCTGAGGACAGTTTCAAATACATGAGACAAAAGTTCAAGAAAGATGGAAAATATCAACTTAGAAAACAAAAAAGTTTTTATCCTTATGACTACATGGTCAGCTTTGAAAAATCTGAAGAAACACAGCTGCCACCAAGAGAAGAATTTTACAAAAATTCTGACTGACAAGCACATAACAGATGAAGAATATGAACATGCTCAAAATGTTTGAAAGACATTCAAATTGAAAAATATGGGTGAATATCACGATTTGTATAGATCTGCAAAGTGATATGTTGTTGTTGGCTGATGTAGTGTTTGAAAATTTCAGAAAGACATGTTTGCAATAATTGTTATAGACTTCAGATCCTTGTCATTATTTTACAAGTCCTGGTCTTAGTTGGGATGCAATATTTAAAATGGTTCACATCAAACTTGAACTCTGCAATGATAACAGATGTTGACAAATTTCTATTCATTGAGAAAGGGATGAGAGGTGGGATCAGTTGTATTGCCAACAGCTTTATCTTGAATTAGGGTTAAAGTTTAAAGGAAGTACACTATTAGAGTCATTCAGTTTGATCAAAGTCCAATTGGCTCAAACAATACATAGATTTTCGCCATTGTTTCTTGTAAATCAACAATCTTTTCTTGGTGCTGATTTGGTGTGTACAGATTTTTATCATAATAAACCAATAGTTCTCTCAACATATGCATCACAACAATTGTTTTGCTGCAACGACTTTGACCACAAACAGGTACTGTATTCTGTATTATTCACCAATGAAATCATTGAAGGCTCTTTTGGTTTTAGTTTGATTTCTTGTCAAAGTTAGAAATCTTCATTTATACATTATAGTTAGACTAAAGGAATATGAGCACATTTTATTAATGAATTGCTCAGTTAAGATAGACTATTTATATATGGATATCAATAGACTGAAAAAGAACACTGAAAACAAGGAAAAAGCCTCAGAAATGAGAAAGGCAATCAAACAAACTGTCAGAAATTATAATGATCATATAATTGAATCACAGTTTGCAAGCAGACAGTTTTTCAAGCCTTTTATGGAATTGAAAAAGTCAGTTGATGAAAAACTATACAAATTCAGGTGAATTAAAAGAAAATCAGTGGGCAATAAGAAAAGGTCTCGACGATATTACAGAAAAGCACAGAGACATTAAAATTATTACTTTAAACAAAGAATTACTTCAAATAATGCCAGAGATCAAACCACCACCTGCTAATACTTTTATGCTCATGAAGGGTTATCTCTACAAGACATTGAAGTGCTCAGTGACCTTTTGATTTTTCAAATCAGGAGAAATTGAAGAAGCTTTTCCACTTCCATCACAATTATTTAGTGCAGCTCGAGAAGATTTTAAAAAGATTAAAGATGAATCTGGAATGTTTGCTCAAGAAATTGGAAATTTGAGGAAAGAAGTAAAGAAAAAAAAAGATTCTCCTCTTGTGGAGTGATAGATGATAGATAGATAGTTTATTAGAATATCGAACATGGAAGTCCGTAGACTGAATTGCGTTACAATTACTTAGAACTAGGAATAAATACAATTAAAATTATCATAAAACCACAAATGTGAAAAACTCTCTATATATGAATATGTACAAACTAGTCTAAAAAAAAGTTATGTACACATACTTGGAATAAAAGTGTTCTTAAAACGATTTGTATGTGTACGGGGCATGGCATAAGCCCTGGACTGTCTTAGATTATATCTGTGTTCTCTCTTAGGAGGTAAGACAGGCACGAGTTTGTGATCCGGGCATGACGTGATAGACTCGAAAAGCTTGCTACACAGAGCCACGCGTCTCGCGTGCAAGGTTACTAAGTCGAACCTGGCCAAACATTCGAAATATGACGCATAAGGACAAATGATGGAGAGCGCTCTCTTTTGCACTCGTTCAATGTCGTCACTAAGATACTGTGGGAGCGAGTGATGGAAGACTGGCGCACAGTACTCTAAAACAGATCTTATCACGGTGCAATAAAAATTTATAATGTCGCTCAGTGGAACATTTGCGCGCTTTAGAAGAACAATAAAGTAAAGGCGCTTGTTCGCTTTCTTAATGCACTCTGAGATATGTTCGTTCCATTTTAAATCTGAGCTAATAGTGACTCCTAGGATTTTTAAACTGTTTGATACTGATAGCTCCTTGCCATTAATCACAATTGGTGGAAAATTGTGAGTGTTCCTTTTAAAGTCAATGCGCATCTCCTTGCATTTATCCGCGTTCAGTTCTATCCTATTTATCGATCGACCACGCCTCAATAGCGGAAACTGCGCTTTGTGCATCACTGGTCAAACCTCGCGGTTTCGTTTGGGCGATAGTTGTGTCGTCTACATACTTCCAAGTGAGCGCGTCGACCTCAAGATCGTTGATCATAAATAAGAACAACCCGGGACCAAGCTTGGTCCCCTGTGGTACCCTGGCGGGGACTGAGCCCCCCTCTGACCTGCAGTCTGATGACAACCTGACACGTTGTTTCCTGTCTGACAGAAAATCCAGCACCCAGACGCGAACCCACCGTGGCATGTCCAAGGCTTTGATCTTTCTGGCCAGCAAATTGTGATCAATAATATCAAAAGGCTTACGATAGTCGAAAAATACCACTCTAACAGCTGTGCCTGTGGCATCAGTGGCTTGTGACCAGTTATGTACCATGGAAATCAGAGCGTACAAGGTGGAGGATCTTGGAATACCGCCATATTGGTTCGGGTCTATGATCTGCAACACCGCTGGACTGACGTATCTAAGTACCACCAAATCTTCCGCAACCTTAGAGATAGCAGGCGTCAAGGAGATAGGACGCAGGTGCTTAGTAGCATCAACCACGGGTTTTTGCTTAGGGAGAGGCACCAGTCCGCAAGCTTCCAAGAGGCGGGAAGCCTTTGTTCTCTAAAGCTTGCGGTCAGTATAGATGTAATAGGCTGTGCGAGAATCACTGCATATTCCCTCAAAAGCCAGTTACCGATGTCGTCAGGTCCAGCTGCCTTCCTCGGGTTTAGATTGATTAGAGCGTGTAGGACATCAATTTCCGTAATTAAAGGCATATCGGAGTCCTCCACTACAGTAGGGACAGCGTATAGGGGTTGGTAATGCTTCATGGGTTCTAAGAACACTAAGTTGATGGCGTTAGCTAGTTCCACGTCACTTAGGCGATCGAAAATGTCCCCGAGCTGAAGGTTGGAAAGGAGACTTTCAGAAGATGACGCAGGATTCAATTCATACCGGCGATTCGTTTAACTGCGCTCCACCACTGCGAGGGCTTGATCTTCTTTAAATTATTCACTTTACTTGCATAGTATTTACTGCGAAGTGACTTACGCGTGCGGTTGACGTCATTTCGATATCGCCGGTATTGATCCATGTCTCCATTGTAGAAGGCGTGTTGACGGTGCTTAATGAGGCTCTTGAACCGCTCAGTAACCCACGGGGGATCACTCAGGTGAAGTCTGACATGTTTAACCGGCATTAAGTGGTCGAGACCAATTTTGATGAAATCCGTAAACAGCGCCAATTTAGCCTCGCAGTTAGATGCTTCGTTAACCACTGACCAGTCGATAGACGCGAGGAAACGCCCAAGCTCGGACGTGCGACTGGCCCGAGTGTCCCGCTTGGAAAGGGTTCTTCTACTTGGGCCTTCCCTTGGAGCACGAACTGTTGGGTGCACGAAGACAACATTGTGATCCGATAAACCAAACGGCGGTACAATCTGAACGGAATTTATGTCGTACAAATCTGGTTGGTTGGTGAAAACCAAGTCCAGGATCTGATCACCCCTAGTGGGCTTGTTGACCAGTTGCCGCAGTCCAAATTGTGCAGCTAAACGATTCAACTTTAGCCGACTGAAATCGCCGCAGAGTAGAATCCCGCAACCTGGGAATTCTCCCTCAACAGGAGTCAAGGATGCTGATAGATAGTCCAACAAAGCAGTGTCTCTGGCGCTGTCGTTGAAGAACGGATGGTATATCGTGGCCGTGGTAACGCAGGGTGTCCCGCGCAGGAGTCGTTTTGGTCTTAACCACGCCCAAAGAACTTCGTACTTAGGGTCTTGTAAGTGATCAAGAGATCTATACCTGATCGAGTCCACTATATGAGTTTTATGATTCAGTTATTAAATCACCTCAAAATTACAGAGACTCATACATGCTAACTTATAAAAGGTGATAAGATGAAAGTCGATCAAGAAAGGAAAAGGAATGAGGAACTACAAACAGAAGAAAAGAAATGCATATGAAATAGATAATGGACAATATGGTAATTGCATGATGATAAATGTTCCAAGATTGATGAATGAGATGGTTATTGAAGTACAAAAAGGTGAGCAGATTATTTATCAAGGTAGATAAGAGTTTGATGAATTTGATTACGAAAAATAGAAATGTATTGCTATTCATAGCTATTAAAATATTCAATAATAACTCTTGCAAATATGCCAAAACCACAGAAGCTGCAGTGGAAAACAATCTCTTGCTGATTCAAAAGTATTTTATACCACACCAAAAGATTTGATTCCATGATTGAAACTTATTACAGGCACATTAGACTTCCAGGACACAGTAATATTCAACTACGAAATGAAGCATAAGCAAATACTTTCAGACCATCTCATCAACCTCAAAGTTAGTAATAGATATAAATGAATACAATGAATATGTCAAAAGGTTTATAAATCAGTATGGGCATAACCATATTGTATAATGAAAATAACATTAATTTATGAGTTTCGAATTCTTTGAATCATGGTGGAATTGAAGGCTGAACTGTCACTCATGATTTTACAATTAAAAACATAAATAAAAAAATTAAAAACTCAATGCAACACCGTGTTAGTGTTAATTGATTTAAAAATTTCTAAGGCACAAATAAGGAAATTTGTTCAAGATGGAGGTTCACTTTGGGGTTCTCTTGCTCCATTTGCCAGACCTCTTCTAAGCAAAGCCACATCTGCTGTTGTGAATATTGAGAAAAGAAGCACTTCCAGGAATAGCAACTGAGGCACTAAGCAGTTTGGCAGCTTTTGGCACATCAACAAAGCACTCAGTTCAGGAATGAAAAATAGAAGACCACAAAATGCATAGTGGTGCAATAAATTGATTCCACCTCAAGCAATATTAATCATGCAACAATTGATTCCTATACTCACAACAGCACAGAAAAATGGTCTTGCTGCTGCAATGACAAATGATATTCCCTTTGAAACTAACAAAGAAACAGCAAAATAGTGGTTTTCTTCCGTTGCTTCTTCATGCAATTGGAATGTTGCCACGTTTAATTAAAGGAAATGGAATCAGTTCAGTTTTAGAAACTGTAGTGGGTAATCCAAAGTTTTTAATCCAATGAAACCAGGTTGGCAAGCATTTTTGGATCCATGCAGGAATATCAATTTGGAAAACATGTTTTGTAAAGGATTGCAAAACACACCAAGTTATGGCCCATATTCAAAAAAAAAAACCAGCAGTAATTAAAAAAAAAGTAATGGTGGTCAAATTTAATTATGTTAATGGCAACACCATTTTAGGAAATTGGCCACAGCAGAATACTATTGGAAGAGGTGCATCAAAGAAAAACAAAAGATCTTCAAAAGAAAGAAAAGGGAAATGGACTGACATTAGGCAAAAACAGCCCATTAAAAAGCACTCCAATTCTTTGAGACAATTTTTTTCAACAAACCACTGTGCAATTTTGATTTACTTGATTATATCAAAAGAATAAAGATAATAATTTCAACAAAATAATTGAAGAAAAAATGATGAAGTACCAAAAATTGGGAAAAAGAATGCTTTTACATTATCAATCTCAGTGATAAAATTAGCCCTGGTACACATTGGGTCACACTGTTTCTGGGAGATGATTTGATAGAATATTTCAATAGTTTTGGAATTGGTTGCCCACAAGGAGTAGTATATTTTTCTGACAAACTTATGTTGAATTATTTGTATAATAATTCACAAAATAATACAAAATTTAACGTCTGTTCTATGTGGTTATTACTGTTTGTACTAGGTAAATGAGTGAAGCAGACAAAAGTAATATTATGAAGTGATAAAACCATTTTCACATACAGATACAAATAAAAATTAAAATTTATCATGAAATATTTCGTAGAAACATCTGGTTTGGTTTGCCAAGAGTGACAATAACGAAGAAAAATCTTCTGAGGAAACAAATAAAACCAGTTTATATTTCATTACGAGTCCAAAAGAAGATACTGGCAGTCTTAAGAAAAATCTCCTCTGACAACAGACATAAACAGGAATAATCACAAAATTCTTTTAAATCTGAAACCTATTGAAAGTGCATATGATGCCATCAGTTTGAAACAATTACAAGACCATAATAAGTGGTAGTAATATTTATCTCTTTCAGAATTGGCACTATAATTGTATGAGTGGTGATATTTATATGGGTTCAAAAGAAGTAGTTACATGTACAGTAACTGTAACATGAAAGAATATACAAGTTTAGATCTGAAACATATTCCAATGTTATTAAAAGTAAACAAACAGCATTGTCTTTGAAATCTTATAATTCATTAGCAAGATTTAGGTATGCAATTTAACAAAAGACATTGAATGAAGATTCTCAAATAGAAATTGATGGAAAAAGCCTTCGACAATACCTTCTATTACTCCAGCTACAGGTTTCAATGCAAGTAATAAGAACATTTCTGATCCAACAAATTCTACAGATGTTGCAAAATTAATAAAGCTTATATAGATTCACACATTTCAACTCACACAAGCAGAAATTATTTACCACTAAGTGGTGGACTAAAATGAGTGGTGTTTAATTGAGATGAATGGAAACCAAGTAAATTTTCCTGATCCAGTTAATATTTTCGATGCAGTTAATTGTAATGTCATTTTCAACAATTATTTTCCTTATAATATATGAGCAAACAGACCTCTTGAATATTCAAATTTTTCAGGTAATAAGTATGATGCAAAAAAATCACAAAGCAATCGATCTCAGAGATTAAAGGAACAATTAACAAATAATTCAGCAACCACAAAGTCTTTATTGACTTGAATCACATGTTACTTCACATACAATTGGCAACTATTTACCACTTTCTGGCCGAACTCTTAAAGCGAGTCTGAATTTCAATAACAAAAGATTGTTAAAAATATTTCACAACCACAAAATGTATCGATCAGATGGAATTCCAAAATCTTACACAGATACATTAATCAACAAAGTTTTAAAAGGAGAAGAAAATTTCACAGGTAATGTCAATATGACTGGACAGTCAATCAAATAAAAATTATGTTGATTCAAAAATTTCAAGTAGCAATGGTGATTTGAAAAGTGATGGAAGTGTGAAAATGACAAATAATCTTGACATGAATAACGAAAAACTTATGTCTCTAAAAAGATCCTGAAAAACTAATGATCAGGATGCTGTCAATCTCAAATATTTGAGAAACAATTACACAACACAAATAGATGAAAGCAATCTTCTCATATTTTCTTCAGTTAAAAACGGATCAGATGCAAAAAATATAACAGGCTTAGTTGTAAATCCAATTGCAAATGATCAGGTAGTCAACAAAGGCTTTCTGCAAAGCGATCATGATGCAAGCGACAGTAACTATGAATTGTATGTTCAAGACAGATAATCACATGAAATCAGTGGTACAGAAGAAAAAAAATTATTCAAATGTGACCCTCCAAGGGATTTCAGGGAATAAGGTGAACGTATGGACACGGCACGCTCGCACGCTAAAACAAAAGAGCTAGCTTTTAACACGTTAGCTGTGTTAGTTATGTGCCTCATTAACATCGCAGCCATTGTCTTCCTTCGCACGGAAGAGACAAAGGAATGTGTTAATATCTTGCCTGCATTTTTGTACGGTATAACACGGTGACTGTGTTAAATTTTTATCACGCTCTTTGAAGTTAAAGTTTCTTTCGATTTGTGCAGGCAGGACTTCGTAAGCTGTAAGGCTTTCAATTAGCCCACCAATACGATTCTAGTTGTCAATATCCAGTGCAACATCGGCCAATGAATCGCCAAACAGAATGGTGTCTCGACTTGTTGTCCGTTCATTTAATCCTGATTTTGGATTCTTCCTTTATTTTCCAATTTCTTGTTTTCTTAAAGCAGCTTGCTAAACACGGGACGAATGAGCAATGTCCTCTGCTCTTAAAAATCGTAAACTTGTGAAGGTAGCTAGCCAAGTACAAATGCATATATAATTGACAAACGTAAGCTTAGAATTGGAGCGAACTTGTAAGATGCAAAGCGAATGACTCTACCTTCGTTGATAAGTGAGGGATTTTCCAGCTAGGAACTGTTTAGCTGAACGGACTATCAATTTCAGCTTTATTTTTGCGAATTATGTAATTATATGCTAGCGCCACAGTAACTGTAAACACATGCACACGCTTCTATTTGACGTCTTGTCGGAGTATTTTAACAGTTGTCTCACACCATGAAAAAAGGTCATACACCCGAAATGTCTAAAATTACAACCATTTAATATGAGACTTTGATATTTATTTCACAATAATTATCATTCTGCTTGTAAACTGTGTTCTCAAAAGGAAGTGAATGCACGCACAGGGTCCAGAGGAGTTAACTTAAAGTTTGTTCAGTTTGCGAACTAAAAAAAATCGTTAATGCCTTCCACAATTTTAATTTTAATTATCCTCGCATTATAGCTGCGTTACGAAACGTAAATACCCCAACACTAAGGACTAAGAGCACGTAAGATGCCAAGATCGCCATACAGTAATTTGCAGCCTCGTTAAGAAAGTTTCGTTTTGCACCGATTAACTGCCGCTTATTCATTTTCAAAGCGCCGATTCGCACAAACCATTAAAACATTCATAAACTAATTTATGAGCAGCAGCACCATTATTATTAGATGGATCATATTCAACAATAAAAAGTTCTTCAGGACAATCTTTTGGGTAACACCATTGACCAACGAATATGTTTTCCTTTACCATGAATACATAATTCATGAATACAATTATAAACTTCACAAACACTTTTATCTGGACAAGCAAAAGCATTCTTTAAAAACTGGATGGTGACGATAATTTCTTCTATTAAATTTCATAGAATCCAAATCTAAATCTTCTAAGATAATTCGGTGAGCGTCAACAGGTAAATTTGGATCTCTTAGTTTTAGAATTGGTTTTAAACCTTCATCAGTAACTATAAAATTTACGACCAGTAAAAATAACTTTTTTACTTTCCATATTTTATAATAGACAACACGATTTACCCTTTAAGTCTTTCTTTCTATATTAGTCACCAACAAGAGTAAACCACTGTATAATTCAACAGAAACAAGCATAATTCTGAAATAGCCGTAAAACCACAAGAAAACGTTCTGTGCTGTAGTTAGGTGTAAAGTCCAAGTATACAGCGCTGGTTCCAATGCAATTAAAAATCAACCGAGACGCTTTTGATGTAGTACGCTTCTTAACTGCGTCACGGATCTTAAATGGTCCAAATAAGTAAATTGAAGTGGAATTCCATGGGGGTGCTAGTTTGAGTCTTTCTCTAGGAAGGTTTCCCATTACTTGTCCTGATAGTTTCTTGTCAAGTTTCTTACACTTCACACAGTTCATCTTTACAGATTGGATCATTTTAAGTAATTTGGTTATCCAGAACCTTGCGCGGATCTTGCTTGCAGTTTTAAGAACTCCGTGATGCCCCTTAGCATGAGTTTACTTCTAGTAAAGACGAGCAAATCGATGCTGATATGGTAGGAGTATGATATCTTTCTTGTTGTAGCCTATTTCTAGCTATTTCTCAGCACGGCCACTTATCACATATATGCCATCATCTCGTAATCGACGACACAAACGTCTGTACATACCATGTTTTATAGCGTTCTTCATATTTCGCTGTGCCTCTTTCATCCAGAATACCTCCGCTGTCACTACATCTTTACTTGTTATTTCCTGTGTTGCGTTCTTAAAGGTTACCTTGGGTTCTCTGCGATAAAGCGTTAAGATCATTGCTGTCACTCTCGATAGACGGTTATAGTCTGAGAATCGTTCGATCTTGATTCTAGAAACAATCAAATTGCACGCAAACCCTCCGCTCTGTCGTTGCCATCGTGCATACGCACAAGAGCCGTAAACGTCCTCTGAAGCCTCACAGAATATAATAAGAAGAGGATTGCAAACTGCGTCCGAAGGCTTTAAACAACTCTCCGGAAAATTTGACTGGATTTATCTCAGGTTATTTATTAAAGAATGCTGACCATTGTTGTTTATTATCTTCTGGTATCGGATCGTCCCAGTCGAGCTTTCCGCTATTTGCCAAGAAATGTCGATCAAGATTTTGGCCCGCACTGTGAAGGGCCCTGCCAGTCCTAGAGGATCGTACATACTGTAGACTTGTGACAATATCATCAGCTTCGTAAGTGATGGGGTGAGTTTCGAATCGTTATAAGGATTGTCTTTCTGTACTCTGCGTTTAATAACAATAATAATAGTCAACTTTTATTTAAAGAGGGTAAAACACATAACAGTATAAAACTGACAAGCCAGTGGCCCTCTTAAAAAATATTACAAATAATTATTAAAAGATTAAAAACTAATTAATTATGGAAAAAGATCAAGAGCTAAAAATCTAAAATTACAAAGTTTATAAAAACTATAAGATAAAATGTTCTAATCGTTTATAACTATTCTTAAAAAAATCTAACATGGTCTTCTTAAAACATTTGATAGTGAGTCTCATTCTTATGTCCAGTGGTAAGGTATTCCAGAGGCGTGAGGTCGATGCTGTGAAAGACCTACCTCCCTCTGACTCCTGTTTGAATGTGGGACAGACGAGGTTTAGTTCTCTATGTCTGCTTGATCTTTCATTTATGTCTGCATTTCTTACGAGCATTTGGGACATATAAGGTGGACAGTCCCTAGACAATCGTTTGTACACCATTAGTTACCTATTTGCTTTTGCCTCATGAAAGAATGGAACCCAATCCAATTTCCTAAACAGTTGTACGCTGTTCACTTTAGTGTCAGCTCCGAGAATTACGCGTGCCGCGTGTTTCTGAAGTTTAAAGAGTTTCTGCAAATTCTCAGCAGAACAAGATGTCCATATGGTTGATGCATAAAGCATTGTCTGCTTGATCATAGCATTATAATAAAGTTTCCTTTGATCAATGGGCTAAAAGCGTCTTATTTTTCGCAGGACGGCAATTCTCTGCGATAACTTCGTGCACAGATTTTCGACATGTTGGTCAAAAGTAAGCTGGCTGTCAATCGTGACACCTAATAGTTTATGCGAGTTCACTTGTTCAAGTTCAGTAGAATTAACGTTTAACTGCAGGGTGGACTGTTCCATTTTCTTGGCTAACCGTTTACCAGTGACAAGCATAGATTTGGTTTTGGTTTCATTAAGGATCATTCTGTTCTCAGCTGACCAATTCAAGATTTCATCAATATCCGTCTGAAGGCCGACCGAGATATCATTAGGAGCCGTCGTATAATGGGTGGAGTAGCTAATAGTTGTGTCGTCAGCATAAATATCAGCCACGGAGTGCTGAAGTGTTGCAGGTAGATCATTAATAAAAACAAGGAACAAGATTGGACCTAATATGCTGCCTTGTGGGACTCCCCATGTTATGGCCCTTTGGGTAGAATGATGACCGTCTATATTCACATACTGGCGTCTGCCACTCAGATAGTCACGGAACAGGGGTAGACTGCTCTCACCCACTCCAAGAGCCTTCAATTTAGACAATAGTAGGTTATGGTCAATCAGGTCAAACGCCTTCTTGTAGTCAATAAAAACAAGTCCAGTGGCTTTATCATTGTCAAGGTTAAACAGTAACTGGTCTACCAATCGAATAAGCGCAGTTTCAGTGGAGTGCGATTCTCTAAACCCTGACTGGAGAGGGTGGAATAAGTCATTCTCTTTCAAGAAGTTAGCTAGGTATTCACATATGTGTTTCTCCAGCACTTTCGAATGAATAGGGAGCACTGAGATCGGTCTATAGTTGTTCTTTTCGCTCCTACTGCCGTTTCCTTTAAAAACAGGGGTAACTTTTGCGATCTTCCAGGCATTAGGGAAGATCTGTGTAGACAGGCAGTTTGCTGATATTGAAAATGAAGGTATATGCCCTCCAGTAGACAGCAGCTCTGGTAGAAGCATCACCCCAGACCCTAGCTTTGAGCCAAAGTCATTAAAGTCCAAAATAACTGCTCGGCCAAAATACCTGCTTGCTAAACGCCCTAGAGTAAACAATGAAGCTATTGAAGGAGCTCAAATGGATTTTCTCAAATCTATTGGAAATCACCTTGTATGTAGAGACAGTCAGAGAGAACAAAAAGATGAAGAACGCTTTTTGGAGAACTGGCTGCTGCCCAACTGAGAAAGATGCCAACACAAGAAAGAGTGACGACCAAGATGGAAATAAACAATTTGATTTCTTCACGCTTATTAAAGAGTAATTCTCAAGATGTTAATACTGTTAGCTACGTAGCTTCTAAGTACCCTGAAACTGCTAGCAGTAGTTTCATGTCTGAGCTGGGTAATATAGAGGCTGTTTCAACATATCCCCCAGGTTACTTCCTCCAGCAACGTCGACACGAGGGGTTATAAATGCCAAGAGTATCCACCCTACTTAGTTATGTATTGGTATTTGAAACAAGGCATGCTTGTGTCAGTCTGCTGTGATGTAATGTCAACAATATTTTATTATTACAACCAGTTCGATAAAAGTATTGAAATAATTATTGTACAAGTTGTAGTTATAGATTATAAAATAATTATGAATTGAGAGTTATGTTCTTGTCAAACAAACAGTTTTGAAACTATTCCCTTTTCACATGGGTGTTGTAATAAATGTAATAAACAAAAGGGTTGTGTTGTTGAATGTTAAAAGCATTTAACCGGTTCCTGACCATGTTAATCAGCCACTCCCTCCATTCTCAAACTCAAAACACATCATTGATCTCTTGTTCCCTTAGTAACAGCCTTGCTCATAATCTGTGTATTATGTACAAAAACATCAACAGGACAACTCGTATGTAAACTGTTGTGTTAGCAAATTTATGATAAGACAGCAATTTATAGAAGTGTTATAAAGACAAATTGCATTCACCTCTCTCAGAGATATCACTCTAGAATCTAAAAGGGGTTGAAATTGCTCGTTATGGATATTCGATATTAATTCAATATGAAAAGCACATGGATTGTTGACTGTCACCAGAAGCCAAATAACGTAGGGTGAGTGCAAGACGTTCTGATGGTGAGATAGGCTGTCTGAATTTTATAACTTGCTTCTTAATAAGTGGGCCAACCTTGGAAGGGAGGCACTCAAAACAACCTAGTGACATTCTCATGTAACTAAAAATGAGACCAATAATCATTCAATAAACCAATGAATGAACTTTGTATTTGAACAATAATATTTCGAGCGTGCCCTTGTCACATCATGTTGAAATAAATTTGGAATTAAAAATTTACTGTAGCTTATACAAAGTAACACAGTACTGATGCAAAAAATATATTTATCAAGTTCATATTTTCATGCTATTTTCAGGGCTTTTTTTGAATAAAATAACATAAAAAAATTTGCCTGCAAAATAACAAAATGCTAGCGACAATAGTATTACATTAGTATTTCAGCAGACTTTTGAAATTCGCTTACGGAAAGTATAGCTCTCTGTCACTACCACGAAGTTCCAAAACCAAGTAATTGAACTCCCCTTAAGCTTTCTTGCGACGATATATCTCCCTTACCCAAAACCCTCTAGGTCTGATGGATCTTCTGGCATTACGTCACCTTCGTAAGCGAAAAAGGTAAATTACAAGCAACGCAAAGAGAAAGATCTCACCTTCATCCCCCATCTTGATTGTAGTCGAGGAAGACTGGTATCCAAGAATTTGTTGATACTGCGCCTGCGTATGCTCTTATACTTATGTTCTGTGTTCTCACTTGCTTATGCTTGTGCTTGTGCTTGTGCTTATGCGCTAGTGAAAACCAGCCTTGAGCATGAACGTAGTACATAGGACACATCGTCGCTTTGGAGATGCGGCATGATCTGTTTTTTTAAGTCTCGTTTAAATTGGGGATAATCGCGAATTTCTCCTTGAAATCGCAGCAATTCTATTTTTTCTAATTGAAGGCTGGAGGACGGGCAAGTCTCGCTCTTTGCTATTTTATCATCTTTTGGACCGATTAACGATGTGAGCTTCTCATTCATATTATCGAGCCGGCATTGTATCTGTGATGCAAATTTTATAGAGTTTTCTGAAGTGTCATGGTCTCCTAAATCTAAAACGTCATCGTTTGCAATTTTACACACAACATACGCATCTTCTGTCTGTCTTAAAAACCTTTCCAGGATATTTGCGGCAATGTTATTATCAAAGAAAATGCTTTGTATTATTAGAGATAGTGCCAAAAAACTGTTTGGGCTTTCGCGCGCACTATAAGTGCCTTATCTGCTTTCCCCTCTCTTTCTGCGCGCTCCTTCCTTTCTGTTTCATGACGTAATGTGTTCTCTCGCACGACAATTTCTGATCTAACTGATCTCTGTATATACTGTATTTTACGCGCTGTCACTTCTGGAAATAGGTTCTGCAACTCGGTAATCCACCTCTCCGCGACTTACAGTTCTTCATCCATTAAATACATCGTGTATAGATCGTGTTTACTTTCAACGATATCCCATGCTTCTGAAAGCTTCACGTAATTACCTTCGACCATTTCTCGTCCTTGGTGGGCATCCATAGGCTTCAGGTGCTCCTTGCGCTTCCTGGTAAACCTTGTTTTCGCTGTTCGTCAAATGCTTTTGGCTTATTCTGCCATCTCAGTGTTATTCATCACGGTCCTCGGAGTTACCGATTGGGATTCGAATGTTTCGTGAGTTGTGGGCTTTTGGTTCATTGTTATCAAACATCTTTATTGACGACTATAGTAGCAGACAGTCAGAGAAGTGCGTTGGAATCGTAAAAGGAAGTCACATTGTTATGAAAAGCTTAGATAATAAAGTATACGAAACGATTTGATATTTACCAAGTAAGTCGGCTAAGCCCACAGCTGACAAATGACTTACATTAGTATTATGACATCACTATAACGTATCTTATTTGCGGATAAATTAACCTAATGATCAACAATAGAATTTCTCGACGAAAGAGGCTTCAAGTCTCAAAATACATTCCCTTCTGTCGCATCGTGTTCAATGGACAAAGCTATTTAAAAAGCCCTTCGATCGTCTAATTCCGAACAAGCTTACTGTATGTAAAACTTAACAAGTTAAGGAAACACATCGATTATGTATTACAATCGCAAAATGATAATAATAATAATAATAATAATAATAATAATAATAATATTAAATAAACCGGTGTTAAGAACACTACTGACCATAAACAAGAATCTTAAAGAATATTTCATATCGTTAAAGATATTTACCCTGGACATCCAACCATAAGTTTTTTCTCCTTTTATTTTTTCGCCAAATTCCGTCGTTGTCTTCTTAGCGCGAGTGTCGTGCAAAAATTAGATACTGGATATAAAGATCTTCAGGGAGTCATTCGAGAGCGAAACAAATCTCCTGATAGTAATTCCATAAGACGAGATTAGAAAAGTTGCGGCTTTCCTGGCATATTCTGAGAGTAAGGGTTAATGATTACCATTTTCGCTATGTATGTTTATCCATTCCTTGAGCTTTTTGCTCATTTCAAATAAGCCTTTGGTTGTATTTGCATAGAATGCACTTACTTTCGAGCGGCTGAATAAAATCGATCGAGATAGCTTGGAAGTTACGAGAACAATAACAAAGAGGTAGCTGCATTTGACATAGGATTTGTTCCATTTTGTTATTAATTTAAGCAAAAAGGGCCCTGCAACCCGATTCCTTTTTTTTGGCAGACCTTTCATATTTCTAAAGTATTAAAAAGTGTGATCGTAACGCCCTTCG